CCAAAATCTCTCGACTCGCGACCTCATCTCGCGCGTCGCGAGTACAGTCGCGAGTCGCGAGTTGATGGCGCGAGGCACGAGATTCTGGCTATTGCTGCTCTGTCAAGCTCGCGACTCGCGAGACGGATCTCGCGACTCGCGATACGGATCTCGCGACTCGCGAGATAAGTCGCGACTCGCGAATTTAACAGACTCTGCTTTTTTGCTCGTTTGTACTCGTTTTGGCTTCGTTTTTCGTGCACTTTATATCAAAACGACCCTTAGCCCTGTTTTAGTAACATTATGTTCTATTCTAATGAAGGTACTAGCAAACGATCTAGGACTGATCATGAGGCAGAGTGGATCGTTAGAGGTCCAGTGGACGGTGGGCCCATGGATGACAGTGTGATCCCTAGCTTTCTAGGGCACGTAGCCTCGCGGTTGTGGAATGGAGAGTGCCGAGGCTTACTTAAATGCCATCTCAGAGTGCAAGCGTTCGGTAATCTAAAAGATTGGCAAGGTGATATGTCTTCCGAGACACTTCATATGATCAAGGGTACTGGACTGTCACATCTGGCAGACTCCATGCACGCCCACTTGGACACTCCACTGCTTACTGCATTTGTGGAGCGATGGCAGCCAGATACTAACTCATTTCACCTGCCTTTTGGTGAAATAAGCATTATGTTGCACGATGTCCAGGCCATTTTGGACATTCCTGTAGAGGGATCCATGGTCGTTGAGGAGCCGGATACAAAGGCCTGTCAGGATTATTGCATGGATATACTTTCGGTCAGTAAGACTGACCTCGTTGGGACGTTCTGGCAGCGTGGTTGTGTGGCAGAAGGCTCCGTTGTGGAGAAATTCTGGGGTAAAGACCAGTTGGCGTTGGATGAGGCTGGTGCCTGGATTTGGCTGTTATCGTCTACCACCTTGTTCGGCGACAAGAGTGGTAGTAGAGTGACTCCCAAGCTCCTAGCTGAGGTGCTTAACGGCATTGGTGGTTACTCGTGGGGATCGGCTACGCTGGCATATTTGTACCGACAGTTAGGTATTGCCAGCAGAGGGGACTCCAGACAGCTTTCCGGCTGCTTAACTCTTATGCAGTCTTGGATTTATGAGTATTTCCCCGATTTCTGACCCCAGGGGGGACGTCTACCCCTCGGTCCTAACGACTCCGCACGATCTCAGATGTGGAGCCCACCGACGGGTCAGAGGAAGGACGAGCGTCTCATGGCCATCCGTCGGAGACTTGACATGCTCACTGCCTCCGATGTACGTAAATTTTTTTTATTTAAAATTAGTTACTCGTTATTTAAAATAATATAAATGTTTTTATGCAATTGTGAACAGGTGCCATGGTTGCCATGCAGCACCTCTACCCCGCACGAGATAGAGCCGAGGACTATTTATTGCGGGTTAATTCGGTACCGCGATATCGTCGAGCCGTACTATCCTGTGCGGTTTCTGCGGCAGTTGGGGTATGTCCAGACAGTCCCTCCCCCTATGTTCGCGCCAATCAGTGCCTGCCGTCCTTGGGAGTCGAGGCTCTACAAGGTTGAGCATTCTGATGTCAGTGCAGTATCTATGTGGAACCAGTTCCCGGTATTGCATACCGTCAACCTCAGTATGTATAAGGCCAGTACAGATGATCGAGCAGAGGCGACTGCAGAGTACATGCAGTGGTACCGTCGAGTTTCCCATCCTAAATGTTTGGGCGAGAATCTGCCGGACCAGAACGAGGTCCCTACGTGTGCCAACAACGACTATGTAAGTCTCATGTTAAATTGTAGTTGTTATTTGATTACAATAATTTTATGTTTTTATAAATATTTAACATAATTTTTTTTTCCTTCTATTTTTTTGTAGTGGATGGACCGTGTTTGTAGCCTTTTTTCACAATCCTTGCGGGATTTTACAGGTTATGATCCTCTGTTGGCGCAGCGGTACTCAGATGAATTGGCTAAATTTAAGGCGGATTATGCCAAGTCAAAATAATTATGTAATGAATGTTTTTTTTTTATTATTATTATTATTATTATTATTATTATTATTATTATTATTATTATTATTGTAAAACATTAATGAGATTGGTTTGTATTTTTCCTTTTTTTTTAGACTACGTTATTTGAAATCAAATATTCCATAACAATGAGATTGGTTCTAAAAAATATATGGTTCGGCTACTCCACACGAGACGTGTGGGAATTGTATGTCGGGAGTTTAGTGCAAGTTTACTACATTATTGGATAGAGGGTTTCGTTAGCGACGCGTAGGAATAAACGGAACTTAGTTCTGAGTTCGGACGAGCCTAAACGAGCCAAAAACGTAGTGTGGCGGAGTGCAGCCTGGAATATCGCGACTCGCGACTTCATATCGCGACTCGCGAGTTGGACAGAGCTAAAAGTCCCAGAAACTCGCGACTCGCGACATCATCTCGCGAGTCGCGAGTATAGTCGCGAGTCGCGAGTCGTTGTCGCAATTCGTGAGATTCGGCCTGTTTCGGCTCTGTCAAGCTCGTGAGTCGCGAGCCGCATGTCGCGACTCACGAGATGATGTCGCGAGTCGCGAAATGATGTCGCGAGTCGCGAGTGTAACAGACTATGCTTTTTTCCTCGTTTGAACTCGTTTTAGCTCCGTTTTTCGCGCACTTCATATCAAAACGATCCTTAGCCCCAGTTTTTACCTCATTCTTTTATTGTTTAAAATTTATGACATTACACACAATTCAATAACAATAAAAAAAATAAAGACAACCGAATAATATTCGTCTTTTATTCATCAAGGAATATTTTGTTCCTCATACCACAATTGCAACCTACGCTGGTACTGATCCTCCCAACCCCGTACCGAATTAGTTCGGTACTTAAACCAGAAAGGATGAATAGGCGGTAATGGACAATCAGGAGTCAAATCTACACGAATAAAGTGTGCATATACTCCAAGATGACAGATCCCAATCTCACGCCGTGGTCGTGTAGCTGTCGATGGTACAGAGAGCGGCAATATTGTCCAACTTATTGGTTGAACTGTTTACCATCAGGACCAAAGCATAACAAAATGACAGTCGTATTAAATAGAGTTGCAACAGGGAAGAGGTCGAATGGAGTATCCATCCAGTGATGTTAGCCACAAGGGCCCCCGTCCCACCTTATTCGAACGAGGTTGGAGTCGATATCTCTGAAATAGATATACTCGTACAACTCACGGTGGCTGTAAATCTCATTGGCAAGGTTCTCTCGTACGAGTTGCCGCATCTCCTGGTCCCCGTAAATGTAACTTGCTATAACCCGAAAGCCACAGTTACCATCCGCGTTCACGTTCAAGTAGCTCACTACGTGCTCTAACATATGCCAGGGAATACTATTCACGAATTCAAAACCAAATATATCTGTCGACATACCAGCTGAAACATCATAATAGTAATTTTATGTCACAATTTATATAATATAATTTATATTAACACTTTAATTAACGTTCAGTTGTATAAAAAAAAAAATATGTCACCTTGTGGTGCCTCTTGTGACGGTTGAGAAGACTGGCTGCTTGTGGGTCCACGCGAAGAATTGTTTGTCGTTCTGCGCGAAGAAGTGTTTGTCAGTCCGCGCGAAGAAGTGCTTGTACGGCCCACCGGACGACCTCTCAAGTTATCCATGTACTCCCAGCGCGATGGTTTACGCTTAGTCGAATCGGTTTTCTTGGGACGACCTCGCGTATTTTCCTTAACCTCAGGCTCTGCATAAGTTTGTTGCTCCGGGTAAAGCTGAGCGTACATGAGGTGATTCATGTAGCGAATCGTCGCAGGATCGCCCTCTTCAATCTCTTGGACAAACGTTCGAAATACATCAACATCTGTTCACATACTCTGGTTATCTTGCCTCTGGTTATCCTGGCTCTGGCGATTTGTCCCTACAAGTGTGTACGGAATAAAAGTTCAATGAATTTAACAACGTAATGTACTTTAATTTGTAATTATCAATGAATTAGAAAGTAGAAAATTTTAAATGAAACATTAACCTTAAATTACCTGGCTGTAACATCTCTAGTTTCTTCCAGAACTCGTGGATATCACTCAATTCAACCGAAAGGTCAGAATCAAATGACGTACGAAGCGTAAAGGCACAAGGATTTCCATGAGTGGTACGCGATACACAACCGCAGCGCTCGTAAACTTCATAGCTCAAACCTTGCATCCTCGTCAGCTCAGAGTTCAATATGTCCAGACAGTAATGCGAGACCCTCAGTGTCAAACACGCGAAAAGGAATCCCGTAAACCCCTTATACCTCCTAAGTCTCGAAGACTCAAGCGTTGTCCTGGTAATATATTACAAAACATTATATTTATTTTTATAAATAAAACGAAATACCAAGAATTCTAATATATATGAAACGATCTAATACAGTTAAAAATAAGGAATGTACCCTTATTCCAGTCATCTGGGACTAGATCTCCGCATCAATCTTCTGCCACATTGTATCGAGCGCGCCAGTCGACGTGCGAAGCCACCGCTTCAACACAGAGTGTGCACTCTCCACCCTACATGAAGTTGTGTTGTCAAGATGTGTTACCCGGTTAGTCCAAGCTTTCACGAACTTCTCCTTGTGGACTAGCCAAGTCCCCTCGACATAATCTAACACTTCTACATGATTTCGGTATTTGACACGCAATTGAGCTACGGCCGTGTCGTACTCATCAACCGTACAGGCATCGGCAATTGCCTTCCACCTACCGCGCAAGAAACTCTGAGCTAATTTTTTATTTTTTCCAAGCAGCATGTAGAGTCTGTCTTCCACATCCTTGTTGATGTGCCACGTGCAGAGTAAGTGGGCAGACTGGGGAAAGTTCCTCCTAATAGGAGTCATTAAGTCCAACTCTCTGTCAGTGACAACCACATTTGGATGTACCTGAGCAGCGGCGGATACAGAAATATTAATGAGACAGAGCAAAAATTGCTGAATTATTTTTATTATATTGCACAAAATACTTTTATTACTAATAAAATTAAATATTTTATTCTTACCTCAGAGCCTATCAGAAGTCTCAGCTTATGGAGAACCCAGTCATAACTGACCTCTTTCTCGTCCTTCACGAGTGCGTACGCAATCAAGAAGTTATTGTTGCACGGAGTCATGCCAATCATCTCGACCAAAGGCATCTTGTACCTGTGCAAATGAGACCAAAAAATATAATCCCATAAAATTTAATCGAACATATTAATTATATTCATACTAATAACATATTTATAAATTAACACACCTGTTGGTTTTGTAGGTGGAATCTATGCCGACATACAAATGATATGTCTGGAATAGTCTGACTGAATCAGGATGGGCCATGAATATGTGTGTCAAGGCATTTGTGTCCGGATGGAAATCTGTATAAACTATATAGCTGCTGCTCCTAGCCAAATGTAGAAGCTGGGTAGTAACGTCTCTACCCTCAAAACACTCCTTCTGCAACATGTCTCTATAGTTATATATCTGTCGCACAGTCGCGTGATCTCCTGGATTTTTTTCCTGGACAACAGCCAAAATATTTGCTGGTGTCACATGCGCAGCAGACATATCACAAATAATCTTCTTTGATGACTGGCTGATGCCGCTCGACTGTCGATGGCCCTCGGGATACACAGCAAATGAATGATTGTGGAAGCCCTTCTCTTCGTTTAGACACTTGTGGATCATCCAGAATTGCGTTCCGGGCACCCGCTTTACTCTTATCTCAAAAGGGCACTGGCACTTGTTGGTTTTCGATTTTCTAGAAGCAACATCTACCTTCTTCTTGCGTCTATAACGTTCGCCTCGATTGCACTTCAAGATTTTCAACCTTCTTCCTTTTGTGTGTTTCGAAATAGTCAAATTGAAACCATTCAGAAGTGCCGTACTTTTTGCATCATCAATCGCAGCCTCATCACTAACAAAAAATGTAGTTGTATTGAAAGCGGAACTGTAATCAATACCATCTCCTCCAAAATCTTCCAATGACACCTGCAATATATTACAATATTTCAAACATGTTAATTAATTATAATCTATATAACATAATAATTTATAACTACTAACACGATAATATCTAACGTTCAATTTATAACTCCTAATGCGACTCACGAGTTTAAAAGAGTCGAAACAGCCAAAATTCGCGACTCGCGAGCCGAAAGTCGCGAGTCGCGAGGGCATTCGCGACTCGTGACATCATGTCGCGAGTCGCGAGATCAGCCGCGAGTACCCTCGCGACTCGCGAGACGAGGTCGCGAGTCGCGAGATTCTGGCAATTTTGCGTTGGACGCGACTCGCGAGCCGAAAGTCGCGAGTCGCGAGATTAAGTCACGACTCGCGAGACAAAGTCGCGACTCGCGAGACAAAGTCGCGAGTCGCGAGTTTCACAGAGCCAAAATATACAAAATTCGCGTTGCGCGAATTCATCTCGCGAGTCGCGAATACACTCGCGACTCGCTAATTAATCTCGCGATTCGCCAGATTTGGGTGTTTTCCTATGCTAAACTCGCGAGTCGTGAGTTTGACAGAGCCAAAACTGTCAGATTCGGTCTCTAACTCCTAAAGCGATAATATCTAACGTTCAATTTATAACATAATTATGTCGAACTCCTAAAGTCCAATTTATAACATAATTATTTCAATTGTACAACATAATAATTTTTATTTCATAACGCGATAATATCTAACATTCAATTTATAGATACACAAATCTTATTAATTTCTAACTCCTAACAGAATAATATCTAACGTCCAATTTATAACATAATTATTTCGATTCGATAATATAATAATTTCTAATTCCTAAAGCAATAATATCTACCGTCCAATTTATAACATAATTATTTCGACTCGATAACATAATAATTTCTAATCCCTAAAGCAATAATATCTAACGTCCAATTTATAACATAATTATTTCGACTCGATAACATAATAATTTCTAAAACCTAAAGCAATAATATCTAATGTCTAATTTACAACATAATTATTTCGACTCGATAAGATAATAATTTCTAATCCCTAAAGCAATAATATCTAACACGTCCAATTTATAACATAATTATTTCGACTCGATAACATAATCATTTCTAATCCCTAAAGCAATAATATCTAACACGTCCAATTTATAACATAATTATGTCGAATTTATACCACAATAAAAATTTTTATAACAAAATAAATTCTAATAATATTTATTTAAAAAAAAAAAAGAGGTGTCCGGCCGGTCGGACCGGACGGACTGGCTACGTCCGGCCGTCGCCGCCGGACACCACATGGGCCGTACGACCGGTCTGACCGGACAGAGACCGGTTCGTACGGCCATTCAAACCGCGCGTTAGATATTAATGTCTGGTCGACCCGGCCGGACGCCGTAAATGCCATCCGGTTCGACCGGCCGGACAGGCCCGGTTTCGTCCGGTTTCGTCGGCCGAACGGGAAAAACAAAAGAGGAAATAGTTATTTTCACCCTGTTCTGAAGTCATACTAAGTTTTACACACCACCCAATAAAAAGCTAAGTTTTTCACCCCAAAAAGTACGAAGACATATGC